TCCAAAAACGGATTTTGCAAGCCATCACGTTCACTAAAAGACTTGTACTTCAAGCCTGTAAGGATAAGGACTCACTATCTATGGCCTGAAGACCTAAGTTTTACCAACCCTGGTCTATGGGCACGGATCAGTTGGTTTCATCTGATGGGAAGGATAGGGCCCAGTCAACTCTTTGAGCCCTAAACTTGTGTGTGCATTTCATTTATTCCACACCTTGCCATATTTACCTTTAGTACTGCTCTGGTGACCACACCACTCTTGGAACCGTAAGGAGAGCTTCATTCAGCACTACAGCATGTGCAGGAGGTCTCAGGTCCTATCTCTCAAATCTCCAGTTCAAAGGATCTGATCATAGGCAATGGGAAAGACTCCAGGATAGTGGCTGCCAGTCAGAGTAGACAAAACTGGGCTGGATGGGCAAATAGTCTGACCTGGCATAAAGCAGGTTCCTAATGATGCTATGCCTGGCTCCTAGAATTTATAGCAATCCAGAGGCTTTGTCCCATTGATAGCAGGGGACAAGGCTGCATGGTCCCATCCCTTCCTTGATTGAAGAAGTCTCTAGTGGTTACCAGGGCCAAGCTGGAAGTACTGGCTGTTTCAGTTGACCTGTTTATTGAGCATTCATTCTGATGAGCTTAAGCAGAAGTTAGACTATGTCCAGTCTTTATCAAGCAATCGTCTTGATTTGTTTGTGGGGAGGTTTCCCAACAATGAGCATTCATCCTGATTCGCTTAAGCAGAGGTTAGACTATGGTCTTTATCAAGCAGTCGTCCATATTGCAGAGGTTAGACCAGTTGTTCCTAACCTTTTTTTGGCCATGCCCCACCTAAGCATCTCTAAAACCCTGATGCCCACCCCCAGTGACATATAATTATTATTATTCAAAAAGTGAACTCCTATTCATGTGGAGGAAGCCTAAAAGGCCATTAACTGTTAATAACTCATTCTCGAATTGCCCCCCTTAAAAATCAAATTGCCCCCCTGTGGGGCGTGTGTCCCACATTGGGGACCACAGGGTTAAACTATGGTCCTTATCAAGCAGTTGTCCAGATTGCAGAGGTTAGACTATGGTCTTTATCGAGCATTCGGTCAGATTCGCTTGTGCAATATTGACATGTCTTCCCATTGGTCATTTGCTCATCCCACTTTCTTCAATTCAGTTCCCCATCGTTTCTCTAACCACAAAAATAGCCCGCTAGTGAACAAACCAACCTATTTGGCGCTAAATTTCCCAGAGTCCCTGGGGGATGCTGCTCAAAGTCCAGTCAGCAGAAGGCCACTGCTGTGCTGCCCTGACTACAGTGTGAGAGGCCAACCTTTGTGGTACTTATATACCAGGCCCGACGAATCCGAAGGCTTCGTACTGCCAGCCAATCGCTGGAGCCGGTGTTGCGTGCTCCTGTTCCCATTTATGCCAGAAGAGGGCACTGAAGCCAATTCCCTTAGTAGATTAGGCCTCTGCCTCAAATCTAGCCAAGGACTCAAGAGGCCCTGACAAAAGCTCTATTCACTGAAAACAGCTTCCATGTTTCTTTTCATAATAGCCTACACAGAAACAAAACTTGGGTTACTTGCTCTGAAAAGTTCAAGAGCAAAAATGCTGCCCCTTCTTTCAGTATTGAAGGTCAAGAAATCTCCGTCCCAAAGGCCTGGAATTTTCTCCCAAAGCAGGCTGCTGCTGCCAGCTCTGTTGCCAAGGCAACAGTCATATATCCTGAGGAAAGGACTGCACTCTTACCAGCTATAAGCCACAGAAGCAAATATTGATTCCAGAGTTCCAGATGAATTTTTTGGGTGGGTTTTTTTTTAAGCCCCCCTTTTCTGTGTCAAAGAATTTCCTCCCCTCCTTTTTCTTTTTTGGAACACGCGTTCTTCTGAATAGTTGAGTTATAACGACATTTAACATAACCCTTTTTTAAGGACACAGCAGGATGTAAACGGTTTCCAAACGAAAATACAGTTTTTTTCCAGAAGCATTGTAATGGCTGCAGCAGATGCTTCTCACTTCCGCACTGTCAGCTAGCTGTAGAACGGGATGCAAAAAATCTCTGGGTTTTCTTTTTCAAATCAAGTTTTTATTTTTTAAAAAAGAAATGAATATTTGTTTGTGGTATCGATAGTTTTAAAGGGGCAAAATAAATAAATTTGGGTGTATGTCAATCTTCGCTGGAGAACAAGAAATCTCAATATTTACTGGGCGAAATATGCCCAACAAGCCAGCTTTACTCAGTGCAGTTAATTGTGGGATGCTGTAAGAGTCAATCCCTTTGATGTCCAAAGCAAGACTTACAGCTTGAGATGGGTGAACTGCCACTTCGGGTTTCTCATTTCTCCAGCTTTAAGTTCAGCTGTCCACATTTCCACATCAGTCTGCCTTTATTTTTCAAGTCCCCATGAAAATTCACCTGAACTAGCCTAATGAAGAGTTACAGAGAACCTGAAATCTTGTGGCATTTTGGTTGGCCAAATAAAGGCATTGCCCTAATGTGGGTTTTTGAATTATTTATTTATTATGAATTGATTCCCCCCAGTGTGAAAGCATTTCCAGCATGATATCACCATGTTGCAATCCTTACAACAACCCTGTAAGGTAGGTAGGTAGGTAGGTAGGTAGGTCAGTACCCTCATCTTCCATATTGCAGTTCTGGAGCTGAGGATGGGAGAGAAAATGGCTTGTTGCTGAAAAGTCACCAGCACATGTGAAATCTGGGGCAGGCAGGAGATCCCAGCCTCTGTGGTTGCCAGTGTTGTGTACCTCAATATATTTAGCAAGCGGGTAAGCCCTCAGCACTTTCTATAAAAAGTGACTTTCAAACTATGGTCAAGAACAATTCTTAAAGAGCAAACAGCGAAGCACATGCTCAAGAGAAACTCAATCAATGCGTTCCTATGGAAACCGCCTTCAGACCAGGTCCGGGGAAGGCTGTTCTGAAGGCTGGCGGTGGGAAGAAAAGCCCTTCTCCCCACCTCCCGCCCCGCAAGCTCCGGGGACAGGAGGGCTTTGCTGCCGACCGCCAGCATTTTAAAAGAGGTCCCCGGAGATTTCCCTATGGGCTTTCTTCTTGCGAAGCAAGCCCATAGGGAAATTCGTCTGGTGAAGCACCTCGAAAAATGGAAAACTCTTTCTTCTTGCGAGTTTTCCGTCTTGCGAGGCATTCGTCTTGCGAGATACCACTGTACCCAGAATCCTTTGTAGCATGGCAGGGTTTACTTGAAAGACAGGTTTACATGAAATGGTTCCCCCTAAAACAGTCATGTATTGAACAATTAACTTGATCACGACAGGCGACCAGGGGATTCCATGTAGGCGAGAAGGCAGATTACTCTACCCCTCCTCCCCACCTCACTTGGTTTCTGAGCTAGTTGCTGAGGAAAAAAACTCCCTCCTCAATTATTGGCATGGAAACGCTTCCCAGCTTCCATGCCCTGCACGTAAGCTGTCCTTTGCCAACCTTGGCACTCTCCAGATATTTTTAGACTACAATTCCCATCAGTACCAGCTGCTGATGGGATTTGTAGTTCAAAACCACTGAACAACACCAGGTTGGTGAAGGCTGGGATAGCTCAGTCGGTAGAGCATAAGACTCTTAATTTCAGTGTTGTGGGTTTGAGCCCTATGTTGGGCAAAATATTCCTGCATTTGCAAGGGGTTGGACTAGATGGCTCTTGTGGTCCCTCCCAACTCTACAGTTCTCTGAATCTATGATGTGAACACTCATAGGAGGCTAGTAACATTTTAAACTTCTATGGGCTTATTTACAGAATACTGCCCTAAAACTAGAAATCTGGGGGCAGCAATCACTGTTCTGGAAGTTATGCCATGTGTGAAGATGACTTCGGTCCAGATCTCATAGACACCTTCATTTCCTTTCCCCTCTAAGCAGCTTTGCAGCACTGGGTGAACTGAAAGACAAGTTAAAACGTGGCAGGAGCTTGATGAATAAGTGACCCCATTTCAGTCTTGGCCAGTGTGCTGTGCTTGGAACAGGCAGCTTAAACCAATCTGATTTTTGACTCACTGACATAAAAGGGATCTTATGAGATGCCGCCACCGTCCATGGCAAGAAGGCAGTTTTGGCTTCCGAGAGAGACAGAGATGATTGCCAAGTTCTTCTGAAGAACCCTGGACTCCAAGCAGCCATCTTATTTACTGTGCTATCTACCAGCCTTGGAAAGTAAAAGCTTGAAAAAACTCTCACCCTATAATCAACGAGGTCACATCTCCACTATACATTTTTAAACACTTTAGTAGCCATGTCTTCCCTCAAAGGAATCCTGGGAACTGTGGTTTGTTGAGGGTGCTAGGAATTGTAGCTCTAGGAAAGATCTTCTCTCAGTGCTTTTAATGAACTACGACTTCCAGGATTCTTTGGGGGAAGCCATGACAGTTGAAGTGGTAGAAGAGGGCTTTAAATGCATGGTGTGTATGTGAACTGACTTAGGATGTGGAATTGGGCATGTTTAGTCTAGAGAATGGGGACGCGGGTGGCGCTGTGGGTAAAACCTCAGTGCCTAGGACTTGCCGATCGTATGGTCGGCGGTTCGAATCCCCACGGCGGGGTGAGCTCCCGTCTTTCGGTCCCTGCTCCTGCCCACCTAGCAGTTCGAAAGCACCCCTAAGTGCAAGTAGATAAATAGGTACCGCTTTATAGCGGGATGGTAAACGGCGTTTCCGTGTGCTGCGCTGGTGCTGGCTCGCCAGAGCAGCTTCGTCACGCTGGCCACGTGACCCGGAAGTGTCCTCGGACAGCGCTGGCTCCCGGCCTCTTAAGCGAGATGGGCGCACAACCCCAGAGTCGGTCACGACTGGCTCATACGGGCAGGGGTACCTTTACCTTTTTAGCCTAGAGAATAGGGGCCTGTTTATGGAGCATTCATCCTGATTTGCTTCCAGAGAGATTAGACAGTGTTCTCTATTTAGTAAGCATTAGTTCTGGTTTGTTTACTGGGAGGCTTTATGATGTTTCGTCAAAAACCAGTATTACCACACACTTGCCTCATTGGGAAAAGTCTATTACACCACAATAACTCCTAATCAAGTGTAACTGTACAACCTACATTTGCCAGTCTGTGGTTACATCCCACTGGGAAACAGTGAGAGACTGGGCAGACCCCGGAAGACTGATGCAGGACACAACAGCACTCTTTAAAGTCCCGAAGGCTGTCACATGGAAGAAGGCAGGACTTGGGCAGAGAACCAGATCATATGGTTACAGGAGGGCAGATTTCGGAGGAACATTCGGCGAAACACTGTTTAATAGGAAGAGCAGTTTGACAGTGTAAACCAGTTACCTCCAGTTTCTCTCACTGGAGTTGTTCAAACAGAGGTTGTTTTTTCCTGCACCGAATGTGGTGTGTGTGTGTGTGTGTGTGTGTGTGTGTGTGTGTGTGAGAGAGAGAGAGAGAGAGAGAGAGAGAGAGAGAGAGAGAGAGAGACTAGACGGGTCACAAGGCCCCCTCCAATTCTGCAATTCTAACCACGGAATGAGGTATCAGGTATCAGGATCTGCAGGACTAGAAAGAGTTTTGAAGACTGGAAAGAAGATCTTGCGGGGTCCTCTACTTAACCCACACCTTATATTCTCATGCAAGGCTTGATGCCTCAAGACACCCACACCCCCTTAAGTAAGGCTGCAGGAAATTTAAAGGCGGTGTGGAAACGCCAAAGGGAAGGGCTGTATCTCAGTGGTGGAACATCTCCTTTGCATGCAGAAGGTCCCAGGTTCAATCCCCAGGATCTGCAGGTAGGCTTGGGAGAGAACCTTGTATTGAGAGCCACTGCCAGTCAAGGTTGACAATACTGAGCTAGGTGGACTATTGGTCTGATTCAGTTCACTATGTTCCTTAGGAGAGCTAAAGGTGGGCCAATTCAGATCTGTTGACCCAAATGTCTGATGGAAGAGTTCTGTGTAACATGGAAGGCAGCATGTTTCAGCAACCGCAAAAGCAGGCTTAAGTCGATAGCCATCTTAAAAAAAAAAATAATCATTTAAATGTTGGTGCAAGAAGAAAAACTGCAAAATCTCTTCTGTGTCTAACAGTAATCCAAGCTCCTACGTTTTTTAGCTCATTTGAGAAAAAGATCATTTAAAAAAAATTCTCAGAAGATATATACAAATGCAACAAAATAATTATGAAAAGGGGGGGAAAATATCGTTTTATAGAATAAGAAAGAGGAAGTTTTAAACAGTGCAATTCTATAACCTCGTCCTATTGAGATCCAATGGGACTTACTCCTAGATAAGTGTGTACAAAAGAAAAGGAATAAGCTCCATTGGACTCAATGGACTGTATCCAAGTTAGTCATGCTCAGAGCAGACTCATTGAAATTAATGGACCTAAGTCATAATTTATCTATGGGTCTACTCTGAGTAGGGATGTATGAAGACATCTTTTGCCCTGTACTCTTTGCAGGCAGCACTGTTTCTGCTCTGCTGCAATTCACCTTCCACCAAAAACTACATTATTTGTTTCACTGTCTGCTGTGGCAAAATTACACAATTTATGTAACTTACAGAATTTATTACAGTGTCATTACATTATTCTACTCCATTCGTTCAGTGTATAAGAAACACAATGTATTTTTTTGTGGGGGAAGGTTATCAATTATGTATCATTTGGATTGATTTCTGTTCTGGGCATTCCAGTAAATATTATACTGTATATATAATTCCAGTAAGATATTATATAAACAAGGAACTGCGGAAAGAGGGGGAGAGGAGTCAAAATAAGATATATATACAATGAACGGTTTGCTTTTCAAGCTTTTCTCTCTTTTTTTGAAATTTTGCATGTTGTAAAATTAATTATATAAATATTATTATTTTTTAAAAAAAAGATTTCTGTTCTGGACAAGGGACGACTAAGCGAACACTGACAATTTCTGCTCCTGTTTCTGTTGTCATCAGAAACCTCTGACATCCCTAACTCTGAGTATGACTAACACTGAATACAATCTGATAGGATTTGCTTCCAAGTCGACACGTATAGAATGGCACTGTAAGTTATCATCTATGTGTTTGCTACCACCAAGACAGGGAGGAAGTCTACAGAGAGCTCTTTGGTAACTAGAAGGGTGTTGCAATAAGGAAAAAACGATGCTTCTCTTGTTACATTTCAATTCCGATTGGTGCTTCTGGTCCAGCCAGCAGCTTTGCATTCTTGTTTTCATTTACAGTATTCTTTCCTGAATTCTGAAATCAAAAAGAGGAGATGGAGGATCAGGGGGATTTCATGCCAGGATTCCACTGAGCCACAGTTGCATGTATCCAAATTTGAACATATGCCCCCTCCCGAAAAAAATAGCATCAAAAGGACCATAGAGCTTCCAATAATTTAAAAAGAGAAATAACAAATATTACGTTTGAGTGAATAATAATTAGTAACAACAACAACAACAACAACAACAACAACAACAACAACAACAATTTATTTATACCCCGCCCATCTGGCTGAGTTTCCCCAGCCACTCTGGGCAGCTCCCAATTGAGTATTAAAAACAATTCAGCATTAAATATTAAAAACTTCCCTAAACAGGGCTGCCTCAAGATGTCTTAAAAACACAATAGTTGCTTATTTCCTTGAAATTGATGGGAGGGCATTCCACAGGGCGGGCGCCACTACCAAGAAGGCCCTCTGCCTGGTTCCCTGTAACCTCACTTCTCGCAGGGAGGGAACCGCCAGAAGGCCCTCAGCGCTGGATCTCAGTGTCCGGGCTGAACGATGGGGGTGGAGACGCTCCTTCAGGTATACAGGACGGAGGACGTTTAGGGCTTTAAAGTTCAGCACCAACACTTTGAATTGTGCTCAGAAATGTACTGGGAGCCAATGCAGATCTCTCAGGACCAGTTTTATATGGTCCTGGCGGCCACTCCCAGTCACCAGTCTAGCTGCCGCATTCTGGATTAATTGCAGTTTCCGGGTCACCTTCAAAGGTAGCCCAACATAGAGCGCATTGCAGTAGTCCAAGCGGGAGATAACTAGAGCATGCAATAAATCACTCTCGATAGAAAAGCAAGCAGAATGATTCCAAAACCAAATTGAAGCAACCACAGTAGTTAAAAAGCATTCAGTTAGCCTGGAAATGGCATGGCATGTTGATGGAGTACTGCTTACTCCTGACACTCGCTATGGCTAGTTCTACGCAGCCAACATGACTACGGGTCAAGGAGTCAGGTGGTTGGCCATATTTCTCCAAGTAATTTGTCTGCATCCTCAGGCTACAAGAAACTAAACTGACCCAGTATAGATGGAGCAGACTATGCTCTAACTGTGGCATCCAACTCTGACCAAATCTGAGTGATTTGATCCCTAAAGTGCCTTGCAATGTTTTTCTGCAGGCCTCTGAGGATGTCAGAGCAACGCTCTCTTGGCCAGAAAAAGCCCATTCACCACCCAGAAAAGCTCTGCCAGAGGGCTACTTGCAGACGCAATGGTAGCAGAGGAGTAAGCTTTCTTCAATGCCGCTACCACCATGCGGTAGGCACGATGGCGCAGCCTCACCCAGGTTCAGATCGCGACTTACACCACCTGCACTCTAGCCACCGACCCTCCTGTTTCATAGCATGCAGGTCACTGGAATGCCAAGGCAACCTGCTTGCCTCACTGCAACCATAAGGACACTCAGGAGCAATTGTTTCAATGGCTCTATTTATCTCACCATTCCACAGTGAGACGAGAGCGCCAGCTGGCTTGAGAAACAGTGCATTAAAAAGTAGCAGTTTATAGCAAAAGGCAGAAGCACGTGGATTTTGGACAATGTCGTGTGAATGCGGATTAAAAACCCAGTGAGTGCACGGTAAACGGCAGGGAGAATTCTCAAATGTGGAAGAAAGTGTCAAGAAGATTCTGCTAGCACATCAGAAGCCAGCATGCCGGCATTTCTCCCAAAGGGAAACAGTGACTCATCACCAGCAACCAAAAATCAATCACAGAGCTCATAATAACCCCCTTGTAAGCAAGCTGTGGTGGGCTTGATGAGAGGGTTAAAGCTATGGAAACTCCTTTTCTCCATCTGTGGCTGGCTTTGCTAACACCAGAGGGTGACACACCCTCTCCCATCATGCACTGGGGAACTTCGGCAAGGGAAACACAAATTGCCCCAACTTCACCTCCTTCTCTTACCTTTATCTAAGTCAATGTTCTTAGGTGGGAGGACCCTGTTATGTTCCGCCTTCTCCTTCAGGATATTGTTCTTGTAATCTGTAGCAGGAAAAGATCTCAGTTCAATGAGCAGCACTGAACAGAAGCTGGTGGAGGCGAAAGCCCCAGAACACCCATCAAAGTTCCAAAGACAGTGTGCAGATTGGTTGGGGGGTGCTAAAGACGCAGATGGCGCTGTGGTCTAAACCACTGAGCCTCCTAGGCTTGCTGATCTGAAGGTCGGCGGTTTGAATCCCCGTGACGGAGTGAGCTCCCGTTGCTCAGTCTCAGCTCCTGCCAACCTAGCAGTTTGAAAGCACGCCAAAAAGTGCAAGGAGATAAATAGGTACCGCTCTGGCGGGAAGGCAAATAACGTTTCCGTGCGCTGCTCTGGTTTCGGTGTTTTGTTGCACCAGAAGCGGCTTAGTCATGCTGGCCACATGACCCAGAAAAACTGTCTGCGGACAAACGCCGGCTCCCTTGGCCTGTAAAGCAAGATGAGTGCCACAACCCCAGAGTTGTCTGCGACTGGACTTAACTGTCAGGGGTCCTTTACCTTTACCTTTTTTAAAGAGGTCAGACCATTTGTGAACTTTTCAAAGAAAGAAACATAATATATGTGGGGCTGGTCCTTGGGGCTAGTCTGGAAGCTTTAGCTAGTGCAGAACGCTAAGCTAGACTTGTGACATGCAATATCGAAAGCAACATGATGGCCAGAAACAATTACAGTATAGAAAACTTTATGGAATAATGCAAAACATCAAAATTATGAAACTGAAGTCTCTGAAAGTCCTTGAATAAGTCACATCAAGCTTGTAAACTTTGTATAATCGGCTATTGTCCAATTCTGATGTCCAGCTCTGAACTCTGCTGAACAGTGTTTCTGGATAGCAACTACTGTTTCGTTCAGTTCTTCATCAGCCAATTAGTTCAACAAACATTCGTGAGTAGAAAGATGTGTAATAATCGTATGAGCACTGTTCCAGAGTATTTTTCATTCTCATGTATATTACATCAATTCGAAAAAAGATTGGTTAATAAAGAAATTACACATCTTTGCAACACAGAGACTTGTGACCAGAACAGCCTATTGCTAACACGTCACCCGTCTTGAAAGACCTGCAGAGGCTTCCCATCTGCTACTAGTACAGGTTTAAGATTCTGATACTGGTGTATAAAGTCCTGAGTACCTTAGGCTCATCTTCCCCTGTATGTCACAAGCAGATCATCCAGGGGGAGAACTACTGGTGCTTCCTCATGAACCAGAAGCACAACTCTGTGTGCTTTGAGTGCAGTGGGCTGCGTGGCACTCCCTCCCACCAGAAGTCAGCCAGAATCTTTGCTGAGTTTCACACGTCCAGTTAAAACCTTTTTACTTCAGGAGGATTTTGCATCATGAATGTTCTTTCTTTAAAATTCTGAGGTTTATGTTTTAAATTTTGTATGTTTATTTTTTTTATTGCTGTTAACCACTTTGAGACCTACAGTGCATGGTGAAAAGCAGGATATACATTTTTAAAATAAACAAATAATGAATAAGAGAAGTCATAGCCGGGTATTGTTAACTCAGCTTCATAATTTGTTTCACAGTGGTACCTTGGTTCTCTAACTTAATCCATTCAACTCCCGAAACTGTTCGAAAACCAAGGCACGGCTTCTGATTGGCTGCAGGAGCTTCCTGCACTCAAGCGGAAGCCAGGTTGGATGTTCGGCTTCCAAAAAACATTTGCAAACCGGGTTACTTCCGGGTTTGCGGTGTTCAGGAGCCAATTTGCTCAGGAACCAAGCCGTTCGAGAACCAAGGTACCACTGTAATGTTCTTTCTGTATTTTTTTTTAAGAAACTTTGTGCAATGCAACAGCTAATTAAACACCAGTTTAAGCTATGTTGCCTCTTCTCCCCATTGTTCAGGCATGCTGGCTCCAAAGCAATACAGTGGTACCTCAGGTTAAGAACTTAATTTGTTCTGGAGGTCCGTTCTTAACCTGAAACTGTTCTTAACCTGAAGCACTACTTTAGCTAATGGGGCCTCCCGCTGCTGCCGCACCGCCGGAGCACAATTTCTGTTCTCATCCTGAAGCAAAGTTCTTAACCCGAGGTACTACTTCTGGGCTAGCGGAGTCTGTAAGGTGAAGCGTATGTAACCTGAAGTGTATGTAACCCAAGGTACCACTGTACTAGTTTTCAGAGTTCAGCTCTAGAATGTGTAAAGGACTTGCTTACCACTCCAAAACAACCTCCAACACTTACCCAACTTAATATCTTCACTTTTGTAGTTTGATACATCTGGTGTGTGGACTGGGAACTCGCTGAGATTCACTTCTTTCCTGGCAAAGCAAAAGAGGAGGGTTCTGGTTATTTTTTTTGTTAAGTCAGATGCATTTCTAGCACTAGATTATACATCATCACATCTGTGCAACGGATGGCAATGGACTCTTCTTGACACTTTTGAACTTTTAATCACTCAGGGTGTTATTTCAATGAGCACAGAGGCTAGAAAAAGATGTTTGCTTAAATGAACATTGATGGCTACTAGCTAATATAAACTGAGGCTGCTTTAAAATGCAACACTTTGTCAGGATGTTTGCCTGAACCCCATAAGTAAACAAATAGATGCTATTTAGATGATAAGCTGGAGAAGAGCAACATCTGATGGTTAACTGCAACCCAAGTGAGACATTAGTCCAGGAACGGCATATCAGATCAGTTCATACTGGATTTTTTTAACAAATGAAATCCTCATGCATTCGTAATTTCAATGTTCTACTTATTGATGGACAACAAGTCCCTTTGGTGCAAGGAACCAGTTTCTACTCACTCATCAAATTTTCTCACGTTGCACTCAAAACCTAGAAAAGAGAAAGAAAAGTCACTCAAGGGCTTTGACATCAGGGAACCATTTTTTGCAGGCATGAATAAGCAGTCACAAACCAATTCACATCTCATTTTCATGATGCTTGTTGATCGAACCAGTTCCCCCTGTAGCAGCCATCCATTCTGAACTGACAAGATACTATGGGGTGCACATACGTGCCTGAATCAGACAGGGTACTTTCTTTTGGGAAACCTCGTTCATACCTCTTGTGCTATAATGGAGTCGAGGAATGGATTTCATTCATTACAAAATAAATGCACTCCTCTACTCAGAACTCCTTCAAACCTCAGCTCAAAACCCACAAATGGGTGGACCTTCCCAGGATGGAGAGCAATAGACCAGGCAGGGCTGTGCATGTGTGACTTCAGCTGGTGCAGGAAGCTGGAGAGACAGAGGCTTCTCTCGCTCTAGGCTAAACTCAAATCTGTGGCTTGGGGATCGCCCTGGGAATCTAATGAGGAAGAAAGATCTATGGGTGTGTTAATGTTGTGAGCCTCTCTATCCTAGGCTCAGATTGAATATATGTGTAAATAAAACCATAAAGATACTCCAGTCTCCTGTGACCTTCATTCCAAAGAAACTGAACCCTGGGAGAGTGCAGATACCCCTGAAACAGTATTGAAAGCGGGATTGCATATAACTGCCCCAACACCATCATGAGCACAAAATCACCATGAACACAAAATAAATAGGACATCAGGAGGGCTCCAGATGCCCAGAAACTCACCTCTTCTCCGGCGCTTGCGTGTGACGAGTACCACAAGGATCAGGAGCAGAATAAAGAGCAGCAGCGTTGCCAGGATGTACCCTAACTGGTGGAAGAAATGAGCACGGCTCTCAGGAATGATGACATTGATCACATTGTGGCCACGGCCGGCGTTTGGATCTGGGTGGCAGAGAGGGAAACCGAGAAGAAGGGGTGGGTCAATGGTTCTTCTTGCAAAGGGGAAGAAACTAACAATCTAGGTAACAGCTCAAAACAAGCCAGACTGTGGCTCAATGGTATAGAGTACATGCTTTGCATGTAGGAAGTCATAGCCTCAGCTTCTGGGAAGCGCATAGGCAGGGCATGTTGGCAACAGACCATTCCAATGGTTGCCCTTCAGCACGTGATCATAGGATGCTGTCTTATCCCAAGTCTAATCCCTGGTCCATCCAGCTTAGTGCTGTCATGGCACAATAAAAATATAAGATTCTACCTGTCTGATATTAACCTGTAGGTAACTGCAAGGGTGGCTGAGCTTCTGTCAATAGCATCTCTTGGAGTGATGAATGGCACAGTTTAGCAGGAAGACACTCCAATTAAAATTTCTGTTTCTATATATCTGATATGGCTGCTTCTTTGTATATTGTTTTTGAAAATTGTATATGGATGTTTTAAGATGGTCTATATCGGTAATGCCTAATAAAGGTTTGGAGAAAGAAAGAAGCTTAATGCTGTCTACACTGACATGCAGCAGTATCCCAGGGTTTCAGGAATATTTCAGCACCTTACCTGGAGATGCTGGGGATTGAACCTGGGTCCTTCTACATGCAAGGCAGATGCTCTACAGGCCTGAGCTACAGCCCTTTCCTGGGCTGCATATTCAGGGATATACTGCTTAATGGAGGCGCCACTTAGCTATCATGGCCAAGAGCCATTGATAGACTGATCCTCCTCCATCCCTTTGTCTAATCCCCTTGCGGCAGTTGATTCCATACATTAATCACGTGCCCTATCACTGAGAAGTATTTCCTTTTGCCTGTCTCAACTCTTCTGAAAAATCAGCTTCAATCAATGAGCCTCACAGAAGAAAGGGAGGGAGAAAATAAATGTTTTCCATTAGACTGTAGGCTCAACTCTTAATGGCTGCCACCACTAACATCTATGGAACAAAATAACATAGCGCACATCGTACCAAGTTACGCCATTTGTCCATCTGGGATACTCTAATCCATGGGTAGGCAAACCAAGGCCAAGGGGCCGGATCCAGCCCAATCGCCTTCTAAATCTGGCCCGCGGACGGTCCAGGAATCAGCGTGTTTTTACATGAGTAGAATGTGTCCTTTTATTTAAAATGCATCTCTGAGTTATTTGTGGGGCATAGGAATTTGTTCATTCCCCCCCCCATATAGTCCAGCCCCCCACAAGGGCTGAGGGACAGTGGACCAACCCCCTGCTGAAAAAGTTTGCTGGCCCCTGTTCTAATGAGCAGCAACTCTCTGAGCCAGAAGTTTATCAAATCACTTGCTGTTGGGGTTTTTTAACTAGTTTCTCATTTTCCCAAATTTTAACTCCAGTTCTGCACATTTCCATATGGGTAAAATGGATAGCTCAGTTGGTTAGAGTGTGGTGCTGATAACGCCAAGGTTGCAGGTTCGATCCCTGTATGGGACAGCTGCTTATTCCTGCATTGCAGGGGGTTGGACTAGACAGTCCACAGATCTGCAATTCTAATTCTACAACCAACAACCCGCAAGCAAAACGGGATGAGTGCTCATTGCTGTATAACCGATCCACCAACAATTCAGAATGTATCCTAAAGAAAAACCAGGCACAGCCTATCTAACTTCTGTGTAAGCTTCCTGCAGGCAAATCAGAACGGATGCTCAATCAACAGGTCGTTCAGAGGAACCTTATGTGCTGTAAACCTTACCGAGGGGAAGGAATGTTGACGCAGGCCAAGAGAGCAAGTTTAGATAAAACAAAATAAAACCACACATGCGTGCGCACACTGAAAAAAGAACAGCAATGCAGGGAGTAAGCCAGAAATCCATTCCATTGCAGGGCGTATGTTGAGCTGGAGAAGGGAAACTTTAGAGAAAGTCGCCAGTGCGGAATGTATCTCTCTGGACAGATTAACTAGGCAGATCATGTTTAAAAAAGAGATTTGGAGCCATTCAAAGGGGTTAGACAAATCCAGATGAGCGGCTGATAGCGGCAGTCTGGGTTTGTTTTGCTTAATTTACCTTGCGGGGCAGGAGGTTAGAGCAGGAGCTCCTTTTGCTTTGTGGAATGTCTCACCGCCCACACCCAATACAAGTCTATACCGCAGTCCCTATCAGTGGTGGCTAGTGCCCATTGGGACTGATGGAGTGACTGTAGACATGCAAGGAGGCTGCGATTTCTGCCCCGCCCTGTCTTACCTCCTTTCTGCTTGAGTTCTGGTTCCACTAAAACCTATGTTGCTCATTTGGCTATCCACTATGGCCGAAACTAATGCAATAAGTACTGGGTTGCGTCCAACGAATTTTTACTGGGAGCAGGCCCACTGAAATTAATGGAAGTCAGATATGCCCATTGATTTCAATGGCTCTACTATGAGTAAGACTAGCATTGGATACAACCCCATTAAATTAAATACTTAATTAACTTCAATGGGAGGGAAACACAGAAAGTGACAAAATGGTTTATGTTACATATACGAAGAAGAAAACAATGATAGCAAACACAGCTCGTTTTTGCTTGCGTGATTTCCATTCCTGACCTTGGGGCAAACCTGCCGATTGTGGCAATTAACCCTCGCATTTCTGTTTCCGACGGAGTTCTCCGTCTTCTTCTCTAGGCGGAAGGCAAGGAAACCGACAGTAGGTGGAGACATAGCCAACTCATTTGCGTTTTGTCCCCATCTGAGACTAAGGGGGAGTGCTGCAACCTGGACTGGTTATGAGTAAAAAATGCAGGCAATTCTCACAGTGGCCAACCAGATGTCTATGGAAAGCCTGCACTTTCCCCTATTGTGATTCCCAGCAACTGGTATTCAGAGGCATACTGCCTCTGACAGATGAAGCATTTATTATTATTATTATTAAATTTATATACAATTTACAGAGCCATTGTGGCAAGTAGCCATGGCAAGCCTCCTCCTCTAGACGGGCGTTTGATCTGATCAAGCAGGGCTAACTCAAAATTAGGCAAAATTTCAACTCTTTCCCCACTAAAACTTAAGCTACAAGGCAGCCTTCGAGCCCAGTAAAGACACTGCAACATATGTTGAAGATGTTCTAATTGATGGTGATAACGCCACGCTAACCTTCCCTTTTCATAAAATATGAGCAATCCATAAAAACAGGGAACAGATGGCTTATTGCTGTTGCGGTTTTAAAAAGAAAAATGCTGGGGGGGGGGGAGGAGGAGAAGCACCTTCCACTGAAAGCCACAGAGTTAACTTCAGATTTGACGGCGAGGATCAGCCAAAATAGAACTAGGCCATGTTGATATTGTAAGCAGAATAACATTTCCTGTCTAGAGAACTGTTCCAGATTTGGAGCTGCGCCCAGGATTAAGAGGATCCAAGGAAATGCTTCGTGGCTATGATTTTTCTTTATCTTTCCTTACGTGCGCATGTGTGTTTTAAGGCTCTGTCCCTGTAGGAGTTTACACGGTCACACAGCGGGGGTTCAAGAGGCGGTTGCAGCAACTCTCGCTGCTGAGTAAACACAAATCTACTTCCCACTGCGCTGCTTTTTAGGGGCGGAGGAAGGCGGGTGCGGGGGGGTGCAGACAGTCCCGGGTGTCACCACTGAGGGGGGTGACAAAATCCCAGGTGGCACTCACCACAGGGCCTGCTGCGCACCTGAGCCACGCATCTCTCCTGGTAGAGACACGGTGGCTTGGGCGCGGCAGGCTCCGCGCTGCCCAAATGGCAGGAGGCTGGCAGACTCCAGAGGCCCCGCAGTGTGCCTCGCCCTTATGGGCGGCTCGTCCCGCCCCTGGGCACGCCACCCCAGGTGCCCGAGCGGCTTCCTCCGCCGCTGCCTCTTTCCCCCAGTATTGGGGGAAACCGAACATGCAGTGAAGAGGGAAGATTCACGACAGACAGAAGAAAGTAAGAACATAAGAAGGACCTGGTGGATCAGGCCAATGGCCCACCTAGTCCAGCATCCTTCTCTCACAGTGGCCACCTGTGGGAAACCAGCAAGCAAGATCCCGAGCGCCAGAGCACTCTCCCCTCCTGTGGTTTCCAGCAGAAGCTTGCCTGCTGCGGATAGCCATCGAAGCTAGCAGCCTTCTCTGGTTTTTTTTTTTAGTACAGTGGGTGGTGCTGTGGGTTAAACCACTGAGCCTAGGGCTTGCCGATCAGAAGGTCAGCGGTTCGAATCCCCGCGACGGGGTGAGCTCCTGTTGTTCGGTCCTTGCTCCTGCCAACCTAGCAGTTTGAAATTACGTCAAAGTTCAAGTAGATAAATAGGTACCACTCCGGCGGGAAGGTAAAGGGCATTTCCGTGCACTGCTCTGGTTCGCCAGAAGCGGCTTAGTCATGCTGGCCACATGACCCGGAAGCTGTACGCCGGCTCCCTCGGTCAATAAATCGAGATGAGCACCGCAACCCCAGAGTCAGCCATGACTAGACCTAATGGTCAGGGATCCCTTTACCTTTACCTCTGGTTGAGAACGGGATCCGTTCTGGAGGCCGTTCGCAACATGAAAAGCCCGAAACCTGAAGTGCTGTATCTGCGCAGGTGCGTGGCACAATTTGGCACTTGTGTGCGTGCACAAGCAGCGAAACCCAGAAGTAACCCTTTCTGGTACTTCCGGGTCGCTGCGGGACGCAACCTGAAAGAACGTATCATGAAGCAAACGTAACATGAGGTGTGACTGTACTTCTTCACACAATGCAATAGTTAAACCACCAGAATTTGATCCCGGGAAAGGTAGTGCCTTATAAAGGGGATCAGACAAACTCATGGAGAAGAAGGCTACCCATGGCTAGAAGCCATTATTATTATGTACTTTCCCTCACTGTCGGAGGCCATAAACCTCTAGGTTATAGTTGGCAGGAATCACAAAAGGGGAGAGTTCTCTTGGCCTCAGGTCCTGCTTGTTGGCTTTCCAGGAGCATCCGACTGACCATTATCAGAAGAGGATGCTGAGACTGGATGTAATGGGAGGATGGGCATCATTCCTAACTGTTTATTGCTAAGATTAGTGGGATGTTTGGGAGGGTGTGGGGGTGTGAGGAGAGCTGAGTGCAAAGGTCTGATCCAGCAGAGCTCTTCTTGTAATCTTTACAAGCCGGTGAGAACTTCCAGCTGCCTTTCCGAAGCGAAAAGACAGAAGGAAAATAAATACTGTTCCCATTGGTTCAGCAAGTTCTCCCTGTTCAGAAAAAGAAAAGAAGGGAAAACTCCACCCAGGAGTTTGAGCTGTGGAAGGGGGCAGGAAACATCCCCCCCAAAAAAACCCCCCTGTTTTTGTTATGTACTGCTTAGAGATATATTTCCCTCAGGATTTGGGACAATTTTCTGGCTGTAATCGAAATAAATTCCACTCGTTGTTTGGGGGGTGGATGGGAACGGTTTCTTCTCCTTCAGTTTCTCTATGATTGGTTTGTTTGTTTGTTTTTCAACTTTGCATGTGCAAATTTGAATTGTGCCTTCTGACTTATTCCCATAAGGCCAGCTGCTCCCATATGGCATCTGATTTCTCTCCCCCCCCCTCATTCCACCACTCGTGAACCCAACACACTGCGGTGCTCCATAAACTACCATCACCCAGCCCATTAAAAAATTATCATGCCAACTACAGCTTCAATATTAAACAGCCAATAAATATTAAAGGCATGATAAATATTTTAAAATGTTAATAAGCATTGAGCTGTACCCTGCAGGTTTTCTTTAAAAAATTATTTCAAAACTCCACATATATTTCTCACTGTTTTGATTGGGATAGCTTTGAAAAGAGAACAAGATTGAAAGGTACCTACTTATTCCGGAGATGGAAAACATGGAATGGAGTGAAACTGAGAAGGATGTGGCTCTTTTGAGCTTTGGGCAACCATTTTCCACATTGACCTGTTTGTCATGGAACCCCTGTTGCAAAGGATTCTGGTACGTAGGTGACGTTGCACACCTGATTCACCCTTGAATCCTCCACAACAGGAGTTCCACAATGGTGTCATGACCCTGAAGTCCACAGGGTCACGGTGGGCTGAGGACCTGGACCATGTTCCTGGCTCTGAGCTTGATGGTGGTGAACAAGAGCTCACTGAACCTGAGACACCCCACCGCACCAGGACTCCTAAAACCAGAGCAGGAACCAATACAGGTGGCGGAGGGAAAAGCCATCTGAGAAGGAATCCCTATTCTTATTGGGACAGGAGGGGGGGTAGGAAGGTGAGCTTGAACCACCTCCCTTCCGAACTGAGGCCTACATGAGGAGGTGTCAACTCAGATACCTTGTTCTTATGAGTGGGCAAACTGTTATGATGAGGTGGTCACCCCCCCAAAAAAAAACACAACACCAAGTATCTTACACTCATGTGGTGGAGAAATCACTGTGAGAGTGACATCCATTTTCTCACAAGAAAGATCCTTGCCTTTCTTAAGGGGGCTTTTTTGTTGTTGTTGCTGAAGAAGCAGCCATTTTCTTCAGAGCAAAGACCCTTATCTTTCACAAGGAGACAATAATTTGTTCAAGGGGCAGCCAATTTCTCTCAACCGAGTTCCTTGGGTTGTATCCAGTGCTAATCATACTTACGAGTAGACCCACTGAAATTAATACACATAACCAACTTCAGTCCCTTCATTCCAATGGGCCTGCTATGAGTAAAACATAGTTGGCATCAACCTCTTCTATAGATAGATAAAGAAGCAGCTATTTTCTTCTCACAACAAAGTTCCTTATCTTTCACAAGGGGGCAAATGTTTTCCTGCAGCAAAATTGCCTCTTTTGATGCAGCAAAAAGTCCCTCCTTTGATGGAAGACCAATTTTGACTCTGTGCGTGTTGGAATTACCTACCTGCAGCCGGCGCATTGTGACGAGTGAAGTTCACCACCACCACCTTCTTTTCCGGTTCCGGCTCCACAACAGAGACCTGAAAGATCCTGCGTTCGTGAAGGCCACAGTAATGATGGTGGAGGTGGCAGGAATAGGTGCCTTCATCAGCCACTTCCAAACCGGATATCCTCAAGGAGAAGTCTCCCTGGGCGAAAGCCTTGTCAGTGATATTCATCTTTTGCCGGATAAACAAGGGACCATAAGAGCGCCCCTCTCCAGAGGCGTACAGGTCAATGAGGCGATCGGCCTTGTCATGAGGCACCCCTGGTGGCTGCCAGTCCCAGTGGACCACCTGCTGGTCCTCTTCGTCGTGCCGCTCGGTCCAGATTTGGTTCCGGTTAATACAGGGGAGCAAGACGGCGCTTCCCTTCAGGGCCACGATCACAACTTTCTCCCCATCCCAAAACTTCTGCACTTCTTCGACTGTTGAAAGAACCGTGCAAAAGATACAGTGAGGGGGGGGGAGTATTTTATCCCCTGCTAAATTTGCCCGTTAGCCTTCTGACGAAGAAATGACCTGTCCATAATTTTAATGGTAGGTTTATTGTAGCTGTAAGTGACAGAATAACAACTATGATTCAGGAAATACCATTTTGCATGTTCTGTTTTCCAAGCACTGGGAAGTTCAAAGCAACCTTTGCTGTGACAAGCCTATAGCTCCAACTCTCCTCACCAACATGCTATGAAAAAAGACAGGCATGGAAATAGGTGTGTCCTCCAACAAAGACCCATATCTCCTAGAACTATGAGGCCATGGAGAAGCTCAGTTACCTTCCCTGACCTCTACTCAGTGACTTTAGCTTTTGGTCTTCTATGGAAGTGCTTTATTCTACTTTGACTTGACTTTGTGTTGGCTAGACCAGGCATGGGGAACCTCTGACCCTCTAGATCAGGGTTTCCCAAACTTGGGTCTCCAGCTATCTTTTTTGGACTATGGTTCCCATCATCCCTGACCACTTGTCCTGCTAGCTAGGGATGATGGGAGTTGTAGTTCAAAAACAGCTGGAGACTCAAGTTTGGGAACCCTTGCTCTAGATGATGCTGGCCTTTCACCATCCCTGACAAATTAACCATGCTGGCTGGGAGAGATGGGAGTTGGGAGCTTAACCATATCTGGATGGCTACAGGTTCCCCATCCCTGTTTTAATCCATCTTAATAAAAGCCAGAGCAACCACTCATACCGAGACATAGGAGGGAGTCTTCTTTCTGGAGAGTGATCCCAGCTCCCAAGAACCTTCCACCCAAGGAAGGGGAACTTGTGATCCTCCAGATATTGCTAGCCTACAACTCCCATCATCCCTGACCATTGCCCATGCTGGTTGGAGCTGATGGCAGCTGGATTCCAACAGCATTTGGGGTCTCCTGTTCTACATCCCTGGCCAAGGTTCCAGCCTGTGGTTGACTTTGCTGTGTGGAATTGCCCCCAAAGATGCTCAGAAAGCAAGACTTAAACCGGCTGGTGCAAGATGCTATGTATGACTCAAGGTACTTTCCAAAGCAGCTTTAGAAGTGAGCGACCAAAGCCATATTGCCAATTAAGAACACATCTGTTGCTCCTTATCTTCTCCTCCACAAAACCAGGAGAGGAGCCATATTCTGAGCTATTGCACAGATGAATGGCATGACGGTACAAACTGAATCAAGCTTTTCCCAGCATAGTGAATCACAACAAATCATGACAAAGCTGCAGCGTGTAGTGAGGAGAAGGTGTCAAACTTGGACCGGGAAGAGCAGAGTTCAAATCTCCCACCCATCTGAGCCATCTGTCAGCCTAGCCTCATTCTGAGTGCCCTTTTTCTGAACCTTTTCTAACACTACCATGTGCTTTCTGAGGTGAGGCTTACTAAGAACTATACTGGGCACAAGCCCATACAGTCTTTTTGAAAAGTCCCAAATCTCCCTACCCCTAAATCAGCCTTCCCGAACCTGATGCTATCACCCAACTCCAAATGTTTTGGACTCCATCATCCTTGATGAACTTTCTGGCTGCAGCTGCTGGGAGTCGTAGTCTGACACAAATTGGAAGACGCCAGATAGGGAAAAGCGATCCTCCTGGTTTCAAAGGGCTTGCTAGTCCGCACAGAGAGGGAGAAGCCTGGAATTATCCTAGGCCTCCTTTTCGGCACAGTACAGCTGATGCTCCTCTAAGCCTTTTGATGCAGCCTTGTGACAGGAAATGCTCCGATGCCCACAAACATCTTAATTACAGCTCCCTGGCCATCCATTTGCTCTGTACATGTGGCTGCCTCAAACAAGACTTGTGCGAGTTTACAAAAGAGGAACATGATGGGGAGCAAAAACACTAGGCACAAACACACACACACACACCCTCCCGCTTTCATCTTGCCGCAGATCTTTTACAACAACAACATTTACCTTCTTCGGTTACATCCAGTTGTATCTTCACAATTTCATAAAGGTGACAGTAATGGTGGTGGAGGTTACAAGAGTAGATGCCTTGGTCGCTCCTGGAGATGTCTTGATTGAAATGCAGTAAGGAGAGAGGGAGAGAGAGAACCATAGCTGTCAACCTTCCCTTTTTTTGCGGGAAATTCCCTTATTCCAGCGCCGTTTCCCGCTGCTTCCCACTGCTATCCTGCATTGTTAGATATCCCATAGACTGTCCCCGGAACAGGTGAGGCTGCTGATCCCTTATTTTCAAATCTGAAAGTTGACAGCTATGGAGAGAACTTTGGCATCCAGGTAACAAAACCATGGGGTTGCAGCCAGTGCTAGTCTTGCTCAGAGTTCACCCATCCAAGTTAATGGGCAAGACTAATTTCAGTTCCTTAATTTGCACAGGTCCACTATAAGCCAAACTTAGTCAGAGAAGGAAGGGACCCTGACGGTCATCTAGATCAGTGTTTCCCAAACTTTTTTGGGCAACGGCACACCTGTTTACTGAAAAAAAATCTCGCGGCACACCACCATTAAAGCCCCGCCCCGTGACATCAGCGCGCAGCGTCACGCCGGGAGGGACGCACGAAAGTGAAAGTTTTTTCCCTCCCCCTTGCCGGGGAACCTCCAAGCTTTGGGGGTGGGAGGAGGCAGCAGAGCGAGGGACTGAGGGACGGCGGCAACTGAGGCGGCGGCGGCTGTGGTGGTGGTGGTGGCGATAGCGGGCGGAGGAGGGGGCGGCGGCGGGGCTTGAGGAGCCGTCGCCGGGAGTTGCTGCTGCTGTTGTTGCTGCTGCTGCCCGGACATGCCGGCCTCCTCCTCCTCCTCTGTCTCGCGCTCCTCCCTTTTGCACGCGCTGCCCCGCCGCTCGGCACCACCACCGCGGAGCCGCCCCCGGCTCGACGCGGATCCTCGCCGCCGCCGCCTCTCACCGCCCGACTCGCCCGCCTCCTTCCCACGGCACACCAGCCAATGTCTCACGGCACAGTAGTGTGCCGCGGAACACCGGTTGGGAAACACTGATCTAGATCAACCCTCTGCTCAGTGCAGAAGTATTGCAGCTGCAGTATTCTTGACACATACCTGCCCAACCTCTAGTTAAATATATCCAGCTAAGGTGAGCCCACCACCTCCCAAAGTTGGTCACATGCCTTCCCCCAAAGCATCCTGGGAACTGTAGCTTACCCCTAGGGCACTGCGCTACAGTTCTCTACAGCCTTAAGAAACTAAATGAAATAAACCAACAATCAGCATCTCCTGTTTAAGGATCAGTGGTAGATGATGAAGGGCGGGGGAAGGAGCTATTTCCCCGAGCTTCATCATGTTACTTTCTAACAGGGAAAATTCACCACAAGGTGATCATTTCCACTGCACCTGGAGTACAATCATAGGATTGAAGGGGCCCTCGTGTGGTGAGAGCTGGTATTTAGCAAGCCAAACTTCAAGCTTGCTCATGATGCTAAAGACCCCAGTTCTGGGATACTCCATTCCGTTCCCGACTGGCATCCCCTTAAAGGTAAAGGGACCCCTGACCATTAGGTCCAGTCTGGGGTTGCGGCGCTCATCTCACTTTACTGGCTGAGGGGGCTGGCGTACAGCTTCCGGGTCATGTGGCGAACCAGAGCAGCGCACGGAAACGCCGTTTACCTTCCCACCGGAGTGGTACCTATTTATCTACTTGCACTTTGACGTGCTTTTGAACTGCTAGGTTGGCAGGAGCTGGGACCGAGCAACGGGAGCTCACCCCGTCGTGGGGATTCAAACCGCCGACCTTCCGACCGTCAAGTCCTAGGCTCTGTGGTTTAACCCACAGCGCCACCCACGTCCCTGGTTTCCCCTTACAGTCAGACAAAACACACACACTGATGGCTGGTGCTCATGGGGACTGGTGGGGCTGCAGACAAGGAGACCAACAGTAGGTGGAGCCAGAGCCAATGACAAGCAGAACCACCCCTTGAGGGGATGTGAGGAAGGAAGGTGGGGTTGGCAGGGTAGACTGGGACTGGACCAGCCTCCACTGTGCACAGCTATGCGCTCCCCCAGAACAGAAATGCAGCATTCTGTGGCTACAGAGCATGCTCAGCTCCTACTAGGCTGCTTTAGGCCCTGCTGCCAGTACTAACTAATCATATCTTCAATGGGCTACTCATTAATGCATTATATTTACACCCCTGCTTTGGCCCAAACTGGCAAACAAAAACAAAAAGGAAATTAATACGTTTGAAATCACAAAAGGTCCTACTTTATGATTTCTATTGATCCAGTGTTTACTTCTCTTGGGTTTTTAAAAATGCTGCTTTTGTTTATTTTTAAAATATTTATTCGCTTTGTTAACTTCTGGGGGTTTTTTTTGGTGGGGGGGTGCTGTAAAAGAAAAAGAAGGATTGATTTGGAACATAAGAAGCTGCCTCATAACTGAGTCAGAACGTTGGGTCCATCAAATTAGGTCAGCATTGCCAGCACTGGCTGGCAGCCCTACTGAGACATGCCAAGAATGGAACCCGATACCTTCTGCATGCAAAGCAGATGCTCTGCTACTGAGCTATGGCTCTTTCTGTCTGCTCATTTCACAACCAGGCGAAGTGTGTGTGTGTGTGTAACCATCTTGAGTCCCGGTACCTTTGACTACCAGTGAGAAGTTGCCATCCACAAATGCATTTTCCGGCATGAAAATCCGTCCTTTGTTGTAGCCGCTGTAGACTCGCTGATCCCCGGCCGAATACATGTCACACAGTCGCTCGGCGTTGTAGTCTCCATACTGGTTCCTGTACAGATCCCAGTGGACCACACGCTGGCGGTCGTTCAGGCGGTCCTGGGTCCACACCATCCTGTAGCTCTTGCAGGAGAGGACCGTTCGAGTGCCCGCCTTGGCAGTGATGTTCTGCACAGACACTACTACGCTCTCGAGATTGGAAGCATCCACTGGGGCTGTCATATGGGAGAGAGAGGGGGGAAGAAGAAGCCATGTGGGGAGATGTACCCACAATCGAAAGCCTGTCTTTCTCTGCCCACCAGGACTTGAACCCACAACCGAAAGGCCAACCTAAGAAGATGCCCCCTGGATCAGGCCAAAAGCCCATCTAGTCCAGCATCCTGTTCTCACGGTGGCCAATCAGATGCCCCGATGGGAAGCCCAAAAGCAGGACCTGCTCTCCCCATATGCGATTCCTGGCTATCGGTGGTACACAGAAGCTTATTGCCTCCAACACTGGAGCTACAACAATAGCTGTAATGGCTAACAGCCTAACCACTGGCAACCGTAGCCTAGTGCAGATCATATCTCAGCTGATACAACTCTCATACTGTAGCAGCTCAATCCCATACATGCCTTATTTCTGAGAAGTCCCATTTGGTTCAATGGGGCTTTCTCCCAGGTAAGTGTACATGGGGTGTCAGTCCAGCTCTGATGCCAGTGTGCTGTAGTGGTTAGGAGTGCTGGATCAGGACCTGGGAGACCAGGGTACAAATCCCCACTTGGCCATGAAGCTAACTGAGTGATCTTGAACTAGGCATACTCTCTTAGCCTAACCTCCCTCACAAGGATGTTGTTGTTGCTGCCATAAGGCTAAAATGGGGAAAGAGGGAGAATTGCATATGCCACCTTTGGCTCCTTATAGGAAAATGCAGGTTATAAATGTAAAAATAAGTAACCACTATAACAACTTATAAGGATTTTTAAGGTCACGGAGGCAGATTCCCCACCCCCACCCCCGATCTACGCCAACCCCATAACCACCAGGCCCACAAATTAATAAGGTTTTTGTGACATTCAACATGGTTTGATTGCAGTAATTATTAGTATTACTGTTATTTAGATTTGTTAGTTGCTTGTTACCAAAAGGTTGCCAAGTGACTTACAAGAAGTTTAAAAACATAAGTGCATTATTACACCATTAACATGATTCATACAAAGCAGCTGAAGTTCATACGAAATATTTGTATTTACCTGAATAGGGATGGACAACAGACTCTGAAAGGAGAAAGAAAAAGAAAATATTAGTGACACAATAGGTGGATCTGCATTGATTAGTTGTGTTTCCTCTCAGGGATTTGACTTGGCAAGCCAGGATGCAGCCTCAAAAGGATGTTTGTCCTTTCCCCAGTAGGGCTGACCAAAATCCCGTTGGATTCAGGGACACAGATCCCCACCAAGCGGATGCACCAACTCTGTAGCCGTCAGACATGTCATCCCCAAAACTACCAGGCTTCCAACAGGACATGGGAATCCTGTAACACTAAGCCGCTTGCTGATAACATTCTGTCGACGCCAACCCCAGAGAGCCAGCCAGCTTGGTTTCGGTTTCGCCCTGCCATTTTGTGTACTAATTGGTATCTGAAATATACTTGGAGCTGAGAGTGGATTTCATGCTCTTTATTCAGCTCATAGTGGTGAGGAGGAATTGAAGTTCCCCCAGAATGTCTGCTTTATATACATTATTTACACAATGGGCCCCACGTAATTGGCTAATTCTGGGATTCTCCTGTAGGCCAATCAGGTTGCGGATTCACTTCCACCTGGAGCTGGATTGGGTGGCTCCTGTGGACCAATCAGACTGCTGCATTCTGGGTCCTATTGTTCTAGGACCAATCAGACTGCTGCATTCTGAATCCTATTCAACTCAGTACATAACAGTATCTAACATGTTTTTAACTTCATTGCCATTCATTGCTTGCGAATGACATTATCTGTTATTACGGATTATGTTAAGGGTCCTTGGATGTTTTTTTCATGGAAAAAACTGTGGCCTTCTTCCAGACATTGTTGGGCTGCAGCTCCCATCGCCCTTGGGCGTTGGCCATGCCGTCTGCAGCTGATGAGGGCTGGGAGTCCAACGACATCAGGAGGGCCACACATTCCGCACCCATGATCAATAAAGAGACAAGCTGGTACCTCGTTGCAACAGTTTTTCTGCAGGTCTATTTGCTGTTCAAGCAGTATTATCAGAGGTAGGCCCATAGCTCAGCGGTAGAGCATCTGCTTTGCATGCAGAGGGTCCCAGTTTCAATCCCAGGCATCTCCAGGTAGGGCTGGGAGAGGCTCCCTGCCTGAAACCCTGGAAAGCTGCTGCCAGTCAGTGTAGACAATACTGAACCAAGTGGACTATTGGTCTGACTCTGCATAAGGCAGCTTTCTACAGTCCTACATTCCTATTTCATTTCTTTCTTGTGGCACATTAGCAGCTCCCTCTTGCTGCACATTGTTTTGGGAATTACTGCGCTAAGGCCTGGCCTTCCATGTTTCCCAGTGTTTTCCTCACGGGTGAATCTCCTCCCACAGCGGACATTTTGGAAAAGGAAAAGCCAACTGTATAAGCAAAGAACTCTTACTCCCCTCTCTGCCCTTGGAAAGTCTGGGCGTTTTGGGGGTTGGCTTTTGTTTTTTTTAACGGTGCCGGCAGCAGATATGTTCCCATCCCAAATTACTGCTCCATGGAGGAGGTCAGATTGCAGCCTTGGTTTTCGCTGGAACTGGTGCCAAGAAGCAATGAGGAGAAAGCAATGAGGATGGAATGCAGATGGGAATAATCACACATGGAGGGTTTTCAAAGCATTCCTTCCTTAAGGAACTTGCTACAACACAGTTTTTCTGGTGATGCTCGGACCTCCCTACTCTCCACCCCCCAAAAAAAACAACACACGAGCAAACACACACACACACACACCCCTCTGCAAGACAAATAAAACACAAGACAAAAAAAGCAGGCAGTGCTCTCCCCCAAGAAACAGACAAGTCGCTCCAACAGCAAAAGAGCCCCCCAAACTAATTCTTAATTATTTAATGGGGGGCACCAAGGGATGTATAATGGGGGGCACCAAGAGATGTTCGAAGGTGCCAATGTGGGTGTCTTGAGGGCTTTGTGCTGCCCATGGGCACCACACTGGAAATGCTGGGGTGCTGTTACCCATATCCCCCCCCACTCCCGAGGGGCTAAAAGCAGTGGAGGCTGGTCCACCTGGGCACATGTGGCAGTGCCCCACCAGCTTAGACCTTCCTGCTTTCTTTCTTATAAACGGTTGGCCCTGCCTGCCAACTTCCTCTTCCTTAGCTGTCCTTGCAGAACTGAACAGGGAGGAAAAAAGGGCGTAGCTGGTAGCAGTTGGCTCTGCCAACTATTGGGGTGCCCTACATTCCGCCCTACCACTCCCAGTGGGTGCCAGCCACCACTGGTAAAAGCAGCCAGAGGGGGTACCAGGGGGTAGCTTTTAGTGGGGGGAAAGATGGCCTCATCCATTACTCTTTGGCCTCATCCCTTCCACAAGCTCAACTTTGGAATTGCCTAATTTGCTACCTTGCATATTTGCAGCTCATTTCATGCCTTTTGCACACACGATTTATCCCTGTCACATTCCCAGTTTGCACGCACGGACCTTCTTGAATCACAGTCACTCACACTGCTTGCAGAATGGGCACTGGTGTCGTATTATTTACTATCCGAACTTACTAGTCACTTGCCACATGCGCAAAAGGTCTCCAAGGGACTTACAAAAACATTTTAAGAGCTTAAATAAAAATAATCTGTTATAATAAAAAAATGCAACCATTCATTTTCTTTTTTAAGAAAAAATCTACAGCACGAAGAAGCTTAAGCTGCAACAAAATCATCATAACCAACAAACATCCTTCTAGTCCATCAAACGCCTGGAAAAAAGAGGTCAGTTTTTCCGTACGTTTTATCCTGCGCGAAAAGCTAATGTTAATACAGTGCACACTATGTAGTTTGGCATTGCCAGATTTACAGGCAAAGGCAAACTCTTATGTGCTGTTTGTTTCAGGTGTTGAGTGGATAGCTGAACAGACAGCACAGGCATCAATGGGGAGAATCAGCTGTTTCCTTCCCTCAGAGGAACTATAATGCTCAGATTCCCAGCTTTCATTAAAAAGAGAGAAAGTAACTTTCTTCCCATTTTTGTGTGAGAAACTAACTTGCTCCCCTCTTCAGAGAGCCAGTGTGGTGGTGTGGTTAAGAGCGGTGGACTCGTAATCTGGTGAACCGGGTTCGCGTCTCCGCTCCTCCACATGCAGCTGCTGGGTGACCTTGGGCCAGTCACACTTCTTTGAAGTCTCTCAGCTTCACCTCACAGAGTGTTTGTTGTGGGGGAGGAAGGGAAAAGAGATTGTTAGCCGCTTTGAGACTCCTTAGGGTAGTGATAAAGCGGGGTATCAAATCCAAACTCTTCTTCTTCATCATCATCATTCTTTCATTTTAATTAATAATTTAATTTAATTTAATTTGTACATCACCCTTCATATGTAGATCTCAGCATACTTTTTCACTTTGCCCTACTCCTGGAAGGGGTGTTGAATGTGCTGCGAAATGTGGCTCTGTGTGGTCATCACCTTTTGCGAACTATAGTTTCCATGATTATTTTGGGGGAAGGGAAAGCCGTGGTACAACAGGGAAGTTGTGGGCCAGCCAGATGCTGCTGAACTACAACTCCCATCAGCCTCAGCAAGCATGGCCAATGGCCAGAGGGATGATGGGAGTCGTAGTTCAGCAACCTCTGGTGGGCCAAAGGTTCCCCACACTTGTGATATAAGCAGGGGCGGCATGGCCTTGAGATGAAACAGGAAGTGCCACCCCGCTGCTACCACCCACCTGCTCCTGCCACTGCTGCATGCCCTGCCACTGCTGCTGCTGAAACTGGCGCCAATGGCGCTGCTGCTTTACCACTGGAGGAGGAGGCGGGGCACATGCAGAGGTGCCGCCTGGGGGGTTTCTGCCGCCTGAGGCAGTGACCTCACCCTGCCTAATGGCTGGGCCGTCACTGGGTATAAGACGACTTCAAGTGGATGGTATGGATGTGAACTGAGTCTCATCATCACTGCTTCAAAGTCATGACATGGTGCCTGCCTTTTTAGATACAGGAAGCAGCAAGGCCATTTCACACCGCGTGTGTGTGAAAAAGCACATGCTGTTTCTATTTTTCAGGTTGACAAATGCCAACTCCCTCGCAGATCCCATAGATCCAATATCTTACAAATCATTTTATATAAAAAAATTGGCCATGCTTCCAAAAAGCAGGAAACTCACCAGATGTGCCTTTTCATCGGAACAGCACAATCCTTGAGCCATGAATAGGATTTAACCCTGCTTCTGGGCTGTTTTATTGTGCCAGGCTTACCTAATAGCACGATAAAAGACCACCCAAGTCCTAGATCTCCTGCGGGGCTGTGGCATGCTTGCTGTGCTATAACTAGCTGCCTGCAGTTTTCAACAGCTGAATCTGCTTTACTGTGTTAAGCTACAAGCACAGGGAAAGGGAGAAGCTGCAACAGTTCCCGCTTCTGCCCATCCTGCTGCCCTCGCTGAGCCTCTGAGCAAGCTATATCTGACAGCTTGAAGACACACCTACTCATCCCATCCTGAAAGAAAACCATTCATCAATATGTGGTATGGCATTTTGATGTCCGTTTGGGCTTCTATCCAAGCAGAACCCAGGGCAGGTGATCAATTGTGTGTGTTTGTGGGGGTTAATCGTTTGTCACCCGCCCCGCCCCCCCCCAACTTTTCATTGCATTTCTCCATCACTTTCCCAACCCCAAAAAGTCTTCCTTTTAAAGTGGGTAGGTTGTGCTTGGGCAAAATAGCGCTTCAATCCACTTTAACTGCTGAAATCTGAATTTCCAGTGTGCACCTGAATTCTTCATGACGGCCTGGCAGTCACCAGAATATGCAGATGTTTCAAGAAAGAGGCATGCAGGGAAGGAGGCGGGGCCCCCCCTGTACTGTTCTAGATGCTGTTGCACCTGGGCTCATTCATCCCAGCCCAAGGGCTTCCTTAGGCACTTGGCTGCCTTAGGCAAAGGAGGGAAGGAGCCTCACCCTCCCAGACCCAGCAAGCTCTTGTCAACTTTGATAGCATCTTTCCTGGGCTTTGCTACCCAAGTTCCAGGTAAGACCTGTCAGAAGACTGGAACTAGGTCATCTTGCATGCAGGATGCGCTGAACCTGGGGTGGCCACTTGCCCCCCTGTACAGAGGAGAGTCCTCTAAAGGAAGAGCTGTCAGAGGGCACTCCTCAATTTGAAGGAGACCTTTTTTTGAAGTCCACAAAATGCATGAGTCTGTTTCCTTACTCTTTGCACTGTCTCCAGAACAGATGTGTGTGTTCATTCCTGGCACCCAGTGAAATGTGGGCATGTTGAAGGGGACATGTTCTATGCAGGAGAGGCTGAGACAGTGCAGGTTATCTGCAGGAGCTGATAGTCTAACCTCTATATCAGTTCTGTGCTAGCAAATTAGGTTGGGTGCTCAGTGAATTGGTCATCGGGAAGAGCTTTCTCTCTCTGCTGGCAGGATCATGCAGAAAATCCAGACTGGATCAGGCCCATGCAAAGTACACATTGAGCTGTACAGAGGATGCTGGTCCACCCATTCAGCTCTGCACCTTTCAGCGGCTCTCTATTTGCCAGTTGCAGGAGGGAGAGTGGTTGCCTTAAACAATCTGCTTTTGGGGTCTTCCTAGAAAAATCTGATTTATTTTCAGTATAAGCTGTGCTGGAGGTTGTTCTGGATCAAAAGGCGGGACTGAAAACAAAACAATCAACTTTTGCCAAACGTAACAGTTCTAATAACTTCATATTAGCTTCACGAGTTGCAAAAAATTGACAGGCGCCCGGGGACGGAAGATGCCAGCAACTGTTCCACACAGCTCAGTAATATATAGGGATTGGTAAATATGCAAGTTTTGGGTTCTCCATTTCTCATTTTCCCAGTCTTCAGTTCTCTACAATTTCCACATCAGTTTGCAATTTAAGAAAAGGAAGAATCCTCATGAAAATGTACTATCTGCGCTTTCCGGAAACAACTGAAGATGTTTTTGTTCCGACAGGCTTTTCCTGCTGGATAAATGGATCATTGCTACAAGTGTCCATTTGTTTGGGTTTTCAGTCTTGTTTTTCAATGTATTTGTTGCTTTTCTTTTAGAATGTTTTAAATTATATGTAAATCACCTTAAGATGGTGGTTTAGAAGGCGATTAATAAATCAGTGGTGATGATGATGATAATCCATCAGCAGTTCCTGTACAAATTTCTCCTAATACACACATTTCTGAATGCAATTTTCCCTGATAAAGACATTTTTGCAAAGCAAGTTCCCCTGATATAATGCATTCTGTATGTGGTTTATTCTGATATGCCTCTTAATGTACACTTAACCCTAGTATATGCATTTTTGCACACATAAATTGGCTGGAGAACTGCATTGCAAGATCCTGAGAAGGATGAGTTTTGAAGAATGTCTGCGTTTTGTTTGTGTGTGTTGTTTTGGAAAGTGCTAATTAAGCAAATTCATCATTAAATGCAAACGGAATCAAATTTCTCCCTCGTCCCTAGTAATTTTCCACTAGGCTCTCCCTAGGCAAAGTCTCTTTGCTTTGGATGTATTTGCAAAACCACATTTTTAAAAAAAGGAAAACAGCAGCAGCACCACACTTTGCAGCAGAAAGAGAGGGAAAGGCTAAAGAGATTTTGGTATAAAAGAGTGTTATGTAAGACTGAAGAGTCCCTGGATTTCAAATCCCGAGTCAGCTATCCGTCCCATTAAGGGATCTTGGGCCAGTAACTATTTCCATCTCCCAGAAGAATAAAGGAATGGAAAAGACAGATGCTAAAAAATCTTTTAGCAGACCAGTTTTGAGCAGACTGTAGCTATGTAAGCAAGCTTTTAGGTTATACAGAATACTTCACTGGCATGAGTAGGAACTCGGTTTAAGTCAAAACTTTGCATCCTTCTACACTGACAAAACTTTTCCCCCCTGAACTTTCTTTAGCAAACTGTTCCCTAACTCACTCAAGCCTCACCATTTGTAGTATTATGAGAGTCTGCTCTATATCAATCATTAGCTTCTGTTCCACCCCTGGTCTGTGTGCTCACTATAGAGTATAAAAAGTTGTAAGGATTAAATGTGAGCTAAGAAACTCTCTGATAGAGGGAAACGCCATCAACAACAATGCCCTAAATGTTTTACCAGTGATAATTAGTGCTGCTCCCACAGTTAATCAACTGAACTATTAGTTGATTAATCTACAAATACAAATTGTAACAGCCTGCTTTTGACCCCCTCCTCTTTTGACTTGCCATGCTTTGTCTGATTTTAAACAATATGTAAAATTTGGCAAACCTCTCTAACATACGGCATACTTTATAGATGGTTTGTTTTTACAGAGGCGGAGTTGAGGCAGAGGGGGCGAAGAAAGAAAAAGACAGAGCTGCTTTTCCCCTGAGCCCAAGACAGAAAAAATGAGACACCTTTGCAAGCAGTTCTCTTATCAACACCACTTTGCTTCCCCAGGTGTTCTAAGGTCACTGCATTATTATTTTTTACTGATCCTGTTTCTTTGCTTTTAACAGCAACCTAACACAGAGAAGACCCAACAAAGGAAGCCTTTTCTCACCACTCAACGCTACAACAGTAAAGGCTGCATCTGCCTGATTTTTGCATTTCGGGCTGTGTTTAATGGCATAGCAGCTAAGCCAAAACAAAAGTATTTGTAAGTGAAATCCTATACGGTTTTCACCTCAGTGATACAGGATTGATTCTTCTGTCCGTAGCAGATCCATAGTGTGTGCAGAAATTAAACCGGTGCAGCATCCCCAAGGATGCAGATGCAGCGGTGAGGTTTGACCTGTGGGATTTCTGCCTGCTGTGCTTCCTCCAAAATATTCCTAATACAAGCAGATAGGGCTGGCTTTTCTGCAAAAACAAAACAAAAACCCTGACCTATATGGAATTCTTCCTAGCAGGCCACCTGAGCAAAACTATTATCTTTCAAAAAGAATTTGCTTTGAAACTTACCTTGCAGCAGCAACAGCAGCAGGCCCAGGAGGAATCTGTTTGCGTGCTCCATGTCTCCTGCTTGCTCTCCCTTTCCTTCCTTCTTTCTTTCTTTCTCCCTCCTTCCCTGCCCAAAAGACAACCTCTTTCAGTTTGCTCTTCCCTGCTCTCCTTCCTTGCTTGAAAACATGATCTCATCAGTTTACAGCCCAGCGAACATGGGCATGCAGCAGTCCTGCCCCCACCTACAGGTTTTTCACTTCTTGCCTTCTTTCTCCATTCCCCCCTCCTCTCTTCTCCCCAACACTTCGCTGCTCAGCTTCAACTTCTACATAACACGCGGGCTCTCTGAACAACACTTCCCCCTGCAAGGAGCTCCCAAGCCCCTTTTGATGTTAACAGAGTGAGTTTTTGCTGGCCCCAGAGTTCCAAAAACAACCGCCCACCCCACCCACCTCCCTCCTGGGTATGGGATTAATTTTCTCGGGCATTTACAAAATCCAGCTGTTCTTTCCTCGCCTTGACATTCCGCCAGATGTCTGCCTGGGTTCTGTTCCTGTTTGCTTTTCTGTATTCCCCTCTCCTTGCCTTCTGCGGTTCTTTCCTTTCGCTATTACAAGATCGCTCGGAAAACACACACTTTTGCCGCCCTAACAAGGCCCTCCTGAAACCAGGGTAGCCACCGCAGTGACCTTCAGATGTTTTGAACTACAACTCCCAGGAACACCATTTGGCACAGCCAACGGTCAGGGGCGCTGGGAGCTGTACAGTGGTACCTCGGGTTAAGAACCAGAGGTCCATTCTTAACATTAAACTCTTCTTAACCTGAAGCACCACTTTAGCTAATGGGGCTTCCCGCTGCTGCTCCGCCACATGATTTTGTTCTCATCCTGAAGCAAAGTTCTTAACCCAAGGTCCTATTTCTGGGTTAGCAGAGTCTGTAACCTGAAGCATCTGTAACCCGAGGTACCACTGTAGTCCAAAACATCTGGAGGGTGCCACATCTGCTATTCTGGCCCCAGGCATTTGTGAAATAACAGTGCCCCTTCACTCTAATATTGTTTGACACACACACACAACCGTCTTTTACAGCTGGCCAGACCCCTCCAGAGACCCAAGTTCCTTGTGATATGAGAGTGGTGGAGAGACTGAGGGTGGTTTTGTTAATATTGGTGTGTTTTGAAATGAACATTGATAGGGGGCAAGTGAGCGCCTATGTAATGGAATCCTGTACAGTGGTACCTCAGGTTAATTCGTTCCGGAGGTCCGTACTTAACCTGAAACTGTTCTTAACCTGAAGCACCACTTTAGCTAATGGGGCCTCCTGCTGCCGCCATGCCGCCAGAGCACGATTTCTGTTCTCATCCCGAAGCAAAGTTCTTAACCTGAAGCACTATTTCTGGGTTAGTGGAGTCTGTAACCTGAAGTGTATGTAACCTGAAGCGTATGTAACCCGAGGTACCACTGTATCTGCCAGGGACCTCCATTACAGCAGAACGACAGAGGGCCTGTCCACACCTCGGCTTAATGTGGCTTGTGAATCCGTTGTGTGTCCTTTAATTCCCCCTCGTCCATGTGGCATTTTCCTCCAGTTACTGCTATCCCACACTTTCCTCTTCCTAAATCCGCAGGTTCCATGTGCAGTTGACGTAGCTCTCCCATTTGGGTTTTCAAAGCATAGGCAATCTCTTGCTTTAAGGAGGAAAAACTGTGGGACAGTAGCAGTTGGAGGAAAACAAGGGGGAATCAAAGGGGTTCACAGTCCACATTAAGCTGAGGTACAGACGGGCCCAAATTGCATTGTGACAGCCTTAAAAGCAGTATCAGTTCCTGCTCCCCTGCTCTGCCTCAGAAGTGTAAACAGCATGCCTTCCCCTCCCTTGAAAAGCTTCTTCTCGGCCACCAGCTGCAAGCTCAGACTTCTGTCTCATCTCCTTGTTACGTTCCAGATGTCAAAACAGTTCTCTCACCAAGCCTGCACCAAGGAAGCTGCTAGTAGCCACCAGCCATTAAAAGCAACAGCCTTCCGCATGGTTGTTAAACCACTCTCATTTCACATAAATTGCTTAGAAGGTGCATTTTGCTCCACAGCTTTCTTTCCAAGAGGGATAAAGACTTAGGACTCAGCTGGATTGGTAAAGAAAAAGCTTTTTATATGCATTGTATATGCATTATAACACTGTGACACCAGATGGCGTTGTGGAGTTCCATTTTTCCCAATGCGATTCTCATACAAAGTTCACAACGCGTTTTCCTGAAACGCTTCTCTTGATATGTCTAGATCCAGCCTTATTCTTATTCTTTTAATGAAGGAGAAGGCTATCAATGGCTCTTTTTCTTCATGCAGGAGAAGGCTGGCAATGGCTACTAGTCATGATAGCTATGCTTTATCTTCAGATAGAGGCAGCACGCATGTGAATATTGCAGAGAGAGTGCTCATCTGCTCAGGTTTCTCATAGGCAGCTGGTTTGCCACTGTGAGAACAGGATGCTGGACCAGATTGGCCTATCTAGCAACCAGGCTCTTCCTATATTCTTCTTTGTCTTGGATGTGAGTTGATTTTACGCGTGGGCTGTTGATGTTTTAAACTTTCTATATTTACAACCTGCTTTTTAAAGAAAATTATTATTAGTAGTAGTAGTAGTATTGATTCAATTGTTTTAACTGTTTTTTATACCTGTAACTAGGGACGCGGGTGGCGCTGTGGGTTAAACCACAGAGCCTAGGACTTGCTGATCAGAAGGTCAGCGGTTCAAATCCCCGCGACGGGGTGAGCTCCCGTTGCTCGGTCCCTGCTCCTGCCAACCTAGCAGTTCGAAAGCCCATCAAAGTGCAAGTAGATAAATAGGTACTGCTCCAGCAGGAAGGTAAACGGCATTTCTGTGCGCTGCTCTGGCTCGCCAGAAGCGGCTTAGTCATGCTGGCCACATGACCCGGAAGCTGTACGCCGGCTCCCTCAGCCTAGGTCCATTAACTTCAATAGGCCTACTTTGAGTGTGATTTAGTAGGACGCAGCTCTAGGTTTCTACTGCACACGCCAGCTGGGTCTGAGCAACAACAGATGAAGGGGACGAGTGGGAAGTTCGATTCTGTCTCCCAGCATCTGGTTCTCAGGAACTGGATCCAGGCCATAATGTTTTTTGGAGTGGGGAAGAGAAGAGGAACTTTATCTGCAAACTGTTGGCCATGTTGCATACTCTCCTGTTCAGGGAAGTTCTTGTTTAAAAAAAAAAGATTTGCTAATCTAGTGTAAACGATTCCATGTGAAAGGGTCCCTTCTCCAGGAGCAAGCGTTTCTCTACTAACTCTTTGCATGATCACCAGGAGGCCCCGAGAAGAGGCGGCAGCGGAGGTATAGGAAACATAGGATGACTTGAGTGCTCCTGGTTTCCAGAAGGCTGGCTGGGTAATTCTCCCTGGAGGCGAATGAAAGGCAGAAAGGCGGAAGTAACACCAGGATAAGCTCTGGAATCTATAAGCACTGCTGGCTACATTGCGGGCTGAAGGGGCCCTTGCTTTGCTCCACTGCTGCTGCTGTAGGTTTTCATGCTGTTCTTGGCCAGCAAGGCCATTCGGGATGTATGTCAGAGGAGAGGCCCTGGGATCATGTTTGGGGAGGGTGCAAGACAGACACGCTGCAAGGTCTGAAACGCGGAGCAGGCCTGTCTTTCCATGCATTCAAGAGGAAAATGCAAAAAGACAAGCCCAACCCAAAACAGGGTATGTTAAAACATTTGGCTGCATAGCCAACTAGGTTTTACTCAAGAGTAGTCCCACTGAAATTAATGGACTTAAGTGGGCCATGACTAGCTCGTTTGTGAAAATATTTACTCGATACTGACACAGTGTTTTGCAAAATACAGAGTGCAGTGTGGTGGGTAAAATGTTTAGATCTAGACACATCAAAAAAAGCATTGTAAACTTCATAATGGGAAATCACGTTGGTGAAAGATGGCACTCCACAGCGCCATCTGGTGTCACAGTGTTATAACGCATATAAAATGCTTTTTCTTTCCTAATGTAGCTGAGCCCAAGGGCTAAGGCTTTCTCAGTTCCAGGGCCGCAAAGCCTTCTGTGCAACTTTCTGGGAGCTACATGCCAATGAAAGGTGGGACCAGAGACAATTTTTAGCTTTGTGTGGTAGACTAGTTTCTACACCCAGACCCCTTGATCCTCCATCTAGGGCAGGGGTCTGCAACCTTTAAGACAAAAAGAGCCACTTGGACCCATTTCTGAAGAAAAAAACACCTGGGAGCCGCAAAACCATTGCGACATTTAAAACAAATATATCTCCGGAGCCGCGATCTAACAGCGGGTGGGAAGGTGCCGTCGGGACGGTGCGTGACTAACGCACGCACCGCCCCCATGCGACGTCACAACCAGTACAGCGCCCGCCACAGTGGGGAGTGTCGGGGCGCACAATGCGCCTCCTCCCCTCGCTAGTATCCGCCCCGGAGCCGCGGCAAAGGTGTAAAAGAGCCACATGCGGCTCCGGAGCCGCGGGTTGCAGACCCCTGATAGGGCAAACAAGGGGCATTATCAGAGTTCAAGGACACATTCCAATCCTGCAAAAACATGCAACTGCTTATGTGTTTAAAACAGTTTCTCCAACCTGAGTCACCATTTTGCTCTGGCTGCTGAATCTTAGGAGTTTTACTGTAGGTCCGTCAGTGAATTCCATCAGAAATGGAAACGGGAGGGGAAATTGCTGCCACTGGCATGTCCATCCAAGGCCAGGAACAGAAGCCACACAAGCGATCCCATGTGGAATTCACTATTGTTCTCTTCTTTGTCTGTGAATGAGTACAGAAATAATGGCATTACTTTCCGCATGGTTTTTGACATTTTCCTTCCATTGAAATTCACAGAAATCGATTACGTTATTAACTACATTAGTGTTGGCCATAGCAGATAGCAAGATGTAGGTTTAAGTGGAAGCCAAACTGTAGCTAATTGGGACGAACAGGAGGACAGGAATCGCTGCCTCCTTACAGTCCTGAGTTTTAGCAAGCAGTCGATCCAACTAGCCCATATTTCATACAGATGATTCTGGGAGATGAGATGGAAACAGTGGTGTGGTGGTCTGGGATATGGGGGGCATAAGACTCATTGCTATTTCTGCAGTAGGGTCCCTCTCTCCAGCATCCTAGAGTCGCCCAATCAGCATAATAGGTGCACTTTTTAGCTACTACCATATGCTCCAAAGCACAGCATTTAGGAACTTCAGTTTCAAGTGACTGGGATACAAGTTCTGCTACATACAATTGAGCTTCAGAGAAAACACAACCTGAGTCACTCCGAAAGAAGGTACTGTAGCCCTCCAAATCATCTGCCCATGTACGTGCACAGAAAATAGCAGATCTAGCTGAATGGCAGCATGTGAGATCTGCACCGATGGTTGCAATGCACTCCCTATTATTATTATTATTA